CACGCTGAAGCTCCCAAACAAAAAGCAGGTAAAAGGCCTTACTCTGGGCATACGCCAAATGCTTGCGCATTCTTCAAAATGAAGAAAATCACCTTTGTCCAAAACACCAACTAAATAGCAAAGATATAGCTTGGGAAAGATATCGTTGTGCTCCGTTTTCCTCTTCTCCCTCACACTTTTAAGTTTCAGCCCGACTCACAAGGGGCCTTTCAGTCACACTGGGGTTTGGCATGGCTTTCCCTGGTAGCCGTCCGAACCTGCACCTTCCGATACCTGCTTTCCTGATCCGCCTGCTCCTCAGATCATCCTCCATCAAGGATCCTTCCACAGATGCCAAAATGTGAGGAGGAGGAGATGTTTGATGACACTTGTTTCCCACGATGTGGGTGATGTTCTCCCGTGTCTTTCTTCTTCCTCCTTCATGGACCAGCAGACGTCTCGCCCCTCCCGCTTTTTTATTTCAGTGGGCAGCAACACCTAAGGGTTGGAGCTGTTGTGGTGAAAAACACTCCGTGCTACATACTTACGCTGATCTTTCCCTTCTGTCTTGTTCCAACTAGGCCCTAATTCTGGAAAAACTACGTATCTGCCAGCGCTATAAAGTCTGGAGACTCATTTTTAAAGGAATACCGACAACGAAATGCACGACGCTGATAATCAAGGACCTCCTTTTTGACAATGTGACAGTGAGGGTGTACTGGCCCAAGACGCCGGCTGCTTCTAACAGAAGAGGAATGGTATTTATTCCCGGAGGGCTCGCCATCTTTGCAGGCATAAGTAAGTTCCTCTAAAACCTATCGTGGCCTTTGCCATTACCTTCGGAAGAATTAGCATGGTTTGGGGGATATTTCTAGATTGACCCCAAAAGAGAGGGAAGCGGCGGGTCTCTTTCCTCCATAGGCAGCTTAGCTGTAACTCTTTGGGATGATAGGATCCTGCCTACAGAAAGCAAGGCAGAAACGTCCACCATCCTCAATCATTAATGAACCCAGTGCTATGCAATTTCTCAAAGGGAAGTGGCTAATTCCGTCCCCTCACCATCATCTTCCTCTTGGTTGCATGAGGAGGAGTTCAGATTTCCCAAGGTTTCTCCTCACCAATTGGGTCAACATGCAAGCGGGATCTGCCACTGTGAAAATACTCAATGGGGGAGAGCAGGATGGGCCCATAACACTCAAACAAGGGGTATCGTGCTTCCATGGGGAGCCATTTAATCCCAGTAGCTGTCTTCACAGAGTTCGTAACAATGGCCAGAGCCCTATTTCTGACTCAGGCTGCTTTGCCTAACCTGCCCTGGCTAATTGCGGCTAATTGGTGACAGTCCAGGGTGCATTTCAGTCACGCATCTGGTCACACACGCTGATGCCACAACCAAGATGTGTCTCAGCACCTGTTCGATTAGCCACGGTGAGCAGCAAAAAGTTCTGGGATCATCAGTAGAAATCCTGCCAATGCTTCTTAAAGGATTGGCAGAAATGCTTCCAAACGTAGGAAAATGGAACTGAAAGTAAGAGCACAGGTTTGGTGGAGCTTTTGACACACCACCTCCACTTCATGGCCTTGTATCATCATTAATGTGAGAGCAACGTTCAAGCAATGGTGCCTCAGCATCCTGCTTCAAGAGAAACACGACTTCTCACGTAAAATATCTGTCTTGCCTCCTCAGAGCTGAACACTCATATCGAATGAGGCAAGACCTTCTGGACAGCTCAGTGGTTTCAGCATCTGGCTGCAGAGCCAAGAGTCAGGAGTTCGATCCCCCCCGGGCCTCCTTAGCAGCGCCTGGACTTAATGATCCAGAGGGTCCCCTCCCAGTTCTCCAGTTTTACTATTGTAATTAATAATAACAATAACAATAACAATAACAACAATAGCAATAACAATAACAATAACAATAACAACAACAAGACTACTACTACTAGTACTAATAATACTAATACTAATACTAATACTAATACTAATACTAATACTAATAATGCTAATAATGCTAATAATGCTAATAATGCTAATACTACTACTACTACTACTACTACTAATAATAATAATAATAATAATAATACTAATAAATACTAATACTAATACTAATACTAATACTAATACTAATACTAATACTAATACTAATACTAATACTAATACTAATACTAATACTAATACTAATACTAATACTAATACTAATACTAATACTAATACTAATACTAATACTAATAATACTACTACTACTACTACTACTACTACTACTACTACTACTACTACTACTAATAATAGTAATAATAATAATAATAATAATAATAATAATAATAATAATAATAATAATAATAATAATAATAATAATAATAATAATAATAATAATAATAATAATAATAATAATAATAATAATAATAATAATAATAATAATAATAATAATAATAATAATAATAATAATAATAATAATAATAATAATAATAATAATAATAATAATAATAATAATAATAATAATAATAATAATAATAATAATAATAATAATAATAATAATAATAATAATAATAATAATAATAATAATAATAATAATAATACAGGATAGCTAAGTACTTGAGTTTGGGATTTCAAATCCCCACTGGGCCTCCTTGACAGCAGATGGACTCCATGATCCAAAGAATCCCTTCCGGCTCTGCCGGTTTTTAAAAAAATATTTTTATTATATTCTAAAAAGATAATGGGCGTAGCTTTAAAAAAAAATACAGCGGCTGGGGCTGAGGTTGAGGCCGCCTTTCGGCTGTCATAGCTACCCCTTGGCAATATTGTCCCTACAGACCTGTCTTTGAAAAAAGGAAATAAACCCACTGAATGGCATTTCCCACAATGTGAAGGAGCACTTTTACTTGATAGTTCAAAAATATACACCTCCTGTTCATGGTAGTAGATTACCGGGACGTCTAGGGTTGTGAGAGAAGGGAAGAGACATTCTTTCTATCCCTCCACATTCTTCATGCCATGAATCCTTGTCAAGGCCTCTGCATATTATTCTCCTCAAGCTTAATCAACACTTTCTCAACTAAAAAACAATACCCTGTTTTATTCACTTCTTGAAACAGAAGATGTTTCACTCCACCATCAGAACCGCCCAGGTGGCTCATTTGGTGCCACAAAAATATTTTACCTCAGAGGGATGAAAAAAATGGAATAGGGAGGGTTGGGGGTGTTGTTGTTTTTTACTTGTCCGTTTCTCTCTGACAAAAATCGGAAGCCATTTCCACGGAACTTTAAGCACCAAGAGCACCGAGCACTTTTCTCTGTGTTTCACAGATCTTACTTCTGGGACTCGTGTCGGCTGGTGCAAGCGAGGGGTCCCTAAAGGTTGCCAGCAGGAGAGGCAACGTCCAAATTTCTAGCAGCTATTTGCACCCCCTCGGAAATTCATAGATTAAAAAAATGTAAAAGGTGTCTCACGCACTGGGACCTAGTCACTCCAGGTTCATAGGAGGGTGATTTCACTTTGGGTTTTAGTCCGAAATTACATTACATGTTGAAGCTAGATCATATGTTGTGGTGGCCTTTTTAAACCAGATAGTGAAGACTCTGCATAAGGATCAGCACAAAAGTTCAGGCATGTAATCTGAGAGAAATCCATTCTGCACAAATAAATCCTAAATTTTTCAACTTAGATTGAGCAGTTGTGATTGAATTCCGGAACACTCAGTGCCCATATCTGGCTTGCAAAGTGCTCTACAATTAAACACTGTTAATTAATTAATTGCAATTAACCCCTCTCTTGCGAAACAAAAATGGAAGGCGACTTTTTACAAAATTTCATTCCTTGGAAGAAAGCCATTGAGCAATGCTAGATTTGCAGCTAAGAAATCAGCGGGAGGGAAAGTGGGTATTTTATTCGACTTTTCACGAGAAATGGTAATGGGATCCACCACGTAACCTCGGTTACAAAAACTTGTGTCTTGCAGAAGGGTACGAAAGGGTGTGCCGCCACATTGCCCTCAAAAGCGACACTGTGGTTGTGAGTGTCGGGTAAGTACCTTCACCTCTCATTCTTTATATTTATTTATTAAAATAGCTGCGGTCCGGCCCCTATCCAGAGATCTCAGGGCAAAGTGCAATCGAGAAGGAACAATCCATGCAAATAACGTGAAACGGTACGACTCAAACCGAGTAAGACGTGCAGTCCACAAATTTTAAAAAACAAAACAGTAGGTACTCGTTGCTCACAAGAACAATCAGCACCAAAACAAGAGGAAAGCTGGCACCCGTTTGAGCTTCAAGGAAAGGTGTTTCACAACCACTGCCTGGTCTATTCTGGCCAGTGGCAGGCAGTTCTCCCTTCCGTTGGCATTAGAAATATGGACCAGTGAGCAATCCCTCCTTTTGAGATTAAGCCCAGCCAGATCTTTCCAAAACATTCCATTTGATTTGCCTGCCCCAAAGCCTCTTAGTATTCCATGGAGCATCAGGGATTGTTTTTCCTTTATTTTCTATCAAATATAGGGGGTACGTGTGTGTGTGTGTGTGTGAGAGAGAGAGGGATTGAGTTTTGCTTTTATTGTTATGAATTTGATTTGATGGCTTCTTTGATTTGATGTATGATTTGTAGTGGTAAAAGTAACAGGTATGCATACATGAAAATGGCCAGGGTTGGAAGCTGTGCACAATGCAAAAAACCCTAATCACAACTCCCTCCCAATGGAGGCCAGCCTGGCCCCCTCTTTGCTGTCCTTCCAGAAGCAGGCAAAGACTTTTGTCTTCAGGCAGGCTTTCTTTTCAAAGAGAGGAGAGGAGAAAAAGGGTAGGAGAGGAAAGGAAAGGAAAGGAAATTGTTGGAAAGGAGAGGAGAGGAAAAGAAAGGAGAGTGAAAAAGAGGAGGAAAGGAAAGAAAAGAAAAGGGTAAGAGGAGAGGAAAGGAGGGGAAAGGAAAGAGAAAGGGGTTATGCGCGTAAAATCCTCAAATTCTCTGACTTTATCTCTGACCCTAATATGGTAAATAGGAAAGCCAATTAGCATTGCATACACCTGGGAGGCAGGAAAGTTTTAAGGGATGGATCATACTTCCTGCACTCTTAGAGAGCAGGCCGGGCAGATGGGGCTCATCAGCCATGGAAGGCAGCCCCATTTACGAGAAGGAAAACTCCGATTTCAAACCTCCACTGTCTTGTGGCTATAACCACTCATGGAAAAGGCTTCAGGAGTTAACCTCGAGGCAAAATCCGGAGCTGGAGTCCCGAAGGCAGTTCGTGTCGTTCTGCCAACTCCTGCGACGTTGCTGGAACCAGTTGTATTGGCTCTTGCCTTTCCATTGGACCATTTCAGCAATTTGGAGAGGGGGGATCTGCTGCTTGGGTAACAGCCTGTCCTCCATACTACTTTACCCAGGCTTCATGCTCTGGAGAGGACACTTCTCGATACAGAGCACGTTACCATAGTCTCTCGAGACCGAAGGATGCCTATGTTGAGAGAAATCAGAGCAGGAAAAGGATAGGGAGGGAGGGAGGGAGGAAGAAGAAGAAGAAAAGGGAAGGGAAGAAAAGGAGAAAATAGGAAATTGAAGGGAAATGGAAAGGATCAGATAGGAAAGAAAAGGGAAAAGGAGAAGAGAGGAACGGTTAGGAGCGGAGAGGAGCTTTCAGTGAGAGAGGAGATAAAAATGGTAGCATAGGCGGCATGACGTGCCATTTCTTAGGGAACGATGAATGTTAGGCTGGTAAACTTTAACCAATGTTTACTTCAGGCTGAGTTGAATCTTTCCACAACCTGTACTGCTGATGATTCTTTGTTTGTTTGTTTGTTTGTTTGTTTCTGATCTTTTAGTAGGGCCTTCCTGGAGTGTTAAGACTGATCACTAAATTGCTCATCCCTGATAATGATCACTGCACAAGAGTTCAATGATGTTATTAGGCATCAAATCAATTTTAACATTATAGGAGGCAATTCCAAAAATGGAAGAATGCCAAACAAAAAAACTGTCTGACTTCATATCAGCACCAAATATGGCACAGATGTAGTAGACAGACTGCTCTTGCCCTGTGCCAAATTTTGGGAAGTTTGGGCAAAGGGCTTCCAGATTATGAAAGCTATTTTACCCTCATGCAGAAATCTTACTTGATGCTAGCGGAACATAGGATTCTATATTTTCTCATTGTTTCCACCGTTCCACCCATCTTCTCACTATACAAGTGTCTGGTCATTAAGAAAAAAAACTGCAAAGATGTTATGTGCTATCATGTCACTTCTGATGTGTGGTGGTGACTATATGAGTTAATGACCTCCAAAATGCCATATAATGAACAGCTCTGCCCAGACCTTACAGACCAACAGTGACTCATGTTAGGATGTTCTCTCTTCCTACTGCCCCACTATCTAGCAGCGTTGTCTTTTGCAGTAAGTTCTGCTCAGGTCTTGCAAACTCTCAGCTATGGTGTCCTTTATGGAAATTATCTATCTCATCCTCTTTTCCTACACCACCTCCCCTTTCTCGCCAATATTCAAGGTTTCCCATCTGTTGAGGTCCATTCCTAAAGCCTTCAGATCCCGCTTGCAGATCTCCTTGTATCGGAGCTGTGGGCTCCCTCTGGGGCAATTTCCCTGCGCTCAATCTTTTGGAATCTGACCATCAGCCATTCTCAGGACATGCCCAAGCCAACGTAGATGTCGCTGTTTCAGTAATGTATACAATGCTAAAAATTCCAGCTCAATCTAGGACTACTCTATTTGGAACTCTGTCCTGCCAGGTGATACCAAAAATGCGTTGGAGGCAACGCATATGGAACGTGTTCAGCTTCCTCTCCTTCTGTGCACAAAGGGTCCAGGACTCACTGCAGGACAGGAGTGTGCTCAGGACACAGGCTCTATAGACCTGGATCTTGGTCTATATGCTGTCAGCTTCTTATTGAGCCATAGTCTCTTTGTGAGTCTAGAGAACATGATACCTGCTTTGCCAATGCGTTTATCTAGCTCAACGTCTAGGGAGAAAGTGTCAGAGATCGTTGAGCCAAGGTACACGAAATCATAAACAACCTCCAATTCTTGTGTAGAGATGGTAATAGAGGGAAGTGAGTTCACGCCCTGGCCCATGACTTGTGTTTTCTTCAGGCTGATTGTTAGTCCAAAATCTTGGCATGCCTTAGTAAAACTATTCATAAGTTGTTGGAGGTCTTCAGCAGAATGGGCAACAACAGCTGCATCATCAGCGAAGAGGAAGTCCCACATGCATTTCAGATGGACTTTGGTCTTTGCTCTCAGTCTAGAGAGATTAAAGAGCTTTCCATCTGATCTAGTCCAGAGATAGACACCTTCTGTTGCAGTTCCAAAAGTGTGCTTCAGCATGACAGCAAAAAAGATCCCAAACAGGGTTGGCGCAAGGACACAACCCTGTTTCACTGTGCTTCAGATGTCAAAGGGATCTGATGTTGAGCCATCAAAAACTACAGTGCCCTTCATTTCCTCATGAAAGGACCTGATGATGTTAAGGAGCCGAGGTGGACATCCAATCTTAGGAGGGATTTTAAAAAGGCCATCCCTGCTAACCAAGTCAAATGCTTTTGTAAGGTCTATGAAGGCCACTAAGAGTGGCTGTTGTTGTTCCCTGCATTTCTCCTGCAACTGTCTGAGGGAGAATACCATGTCAGTGGTGGATCTATTTGCTCGGAATCTGCACTGTGATTCTGGATAGACTCTGTCTGCAAGCACCTGGAGTCTCTTCAGCACAACACAGGCCAGCAGCTTCCCTACAACGTTGAGAAGAGAGATACCACCGTAGTTACTGCAGTCGCCCCTCTCTCCTTTGTTCTTATATAATGTGATGATGTTTGCATCCTTCATGTCCTGTTGTACTCCACCTTCCCTCCAGCAAAGACAAAAGATTTCATACAGCTCAGTGGTAATTATCTCTTACAGCACTTCAGCAGGGATGTTATCCTTCCCAGGTGCCTTGCTGGAGGCGAGGGAATCCAAGGCCACTTTTGTTTCTGCAAAAGTCGGTTCGCTGCCCAACTCTTCCAAGACAGGCAGGCACTTGATGTTATTTAATGCCTTTTCGGTTACTACATTGTCTCTGGAATGTAGCTCAGAGTAGTGCTGCACATAGCGTTCCATCTGCTGTGCTCGATCCTGGATGACCACGCCTGTAGCAGACTTCAAGGGAGCAGATTTCTTCTGTATTGGACCTAAAGCCTGTTTGATACCATCATACATTCGTTTGATCTTACCTGTGTCTGCTGCTATCTGTATCTAACAGCAGAGCTGAAGTCAATAATCATTGGAACATCTCTTGACAACCTGTTGGACTTGGCTACAAGCAACTCGAAGAGCCTGCAAGTTGTACTCACTAGGACAGGCTTTGTATGCTGCTAGAGCTCTCTTCTTGATGGCTGGCATCAACTCCTCGAAATGGGCTTTGAACCAGTCAGCCGTCTTTTTGGTCTTCTTGCCAAATGTGGACAAGGTGGTGTTATCAACAGCATTCTTGAAATGTTCCCATCATTCGGGTGCATTTGCATCAGCCGGGCCTGGAAGAGTTTCCTCAGGCACTTGGGCAAATTCCTCCACTTTTCTCTGATTGTGAGGCTTGCTGATGTCAATATGTGGTCTTCCTTCCTTTTTCATGTGATATAAACTCTTTGTTCACTGTTTTACTCTGCTACACACCAGGGAGTGATCAGTATCACAATCAGAACCCAGGTAACTGTGTGTGATCGTAATACTAGGAAGGCTAGAACGTCTAGTGAGCTGATGCCAATGCTTCAATCTTGGATGTCTCCAGGAAACTCTGTGTTGAAGCTTCGTATTAAAGAATGTGTTGCTGACACAAAGACCATCATAACAGCAAAATTCCAGCAAGTGTTGGCCATTTTTGTTTATATTTCCAATGCAAAAACAGCCTAGACAAGTGGGCCAAGAATTGTCATTAGCACCAACTCTAGCGTTAACGTCTCCAAGAATGAACAGCGTCTCTCTCTCTCTCTCTCTCAGGGATTTTTTTAATAGTAGCTGCCAGATCATCATAGAATTTGTCTTTGACA